CGTAACATGTTCCCAAAATGGAATACATTTTCATTTGGTAAACACAGCCACATTTTCACATGACACACACGTACCATTCATTGCTTAAACACAAGTAGCCTTTGGGTGAACACTACCAAGCATGGAAAGAACACTGAAGAGCAAAACTGAAAACACAATTGTCTAAATGGAACACGATGAACTACACACTGAATCCATTACAATGCCCACTTCTCTCATAGACAGACATTCGACATCACACAAATTTTGAGACAAAACATTTTATTTTTACAGTTAACCCCCACCCCCTCTCCCATTCAAGCATAATCATGGGGCATCATGCCTCCGGTCTCTGTCTGGCCAGAGGACCTCATCAACATCACAGGCAATGTCCTCCTGGTCCAAACAGCACCGGAAGTACCGCCTCGAGTGCCTCATGAAGCCCTGACAGGCCTTAAAGGCCACATCTCTACAAGCCTCCTCCATGGCTTGAAGCAGTGGGACCTGGCTCTGTGGATTCCTTTCGTACACCTTCCACCTCCAGGCTGAGGAAAACTCCTCAGTGGGATTGAGGAAGGGGGAATAAGGTGGAAGGTATAAAATGGAAAACAGTGGGTGGTCCTGAAACCACTCATACACCTGGGTAGCCTTGTGGAAACTTACTTTTATGCTGCAGTCCCTGATTGCAAATTGCTCGTCAGACCCGAAAGTTTAGAGATTTGAATATTTGTGTGTTGTTGATTGAATCTTTGAGAATTTATGTGAAAAGTGAGTGTAAACCTGAAAATTGTGTGCTGTGTTTTGACAGCAAGGTAATGTGAAATTGACATCAGAGTGCAAAGGAGGAAAATCAGAGTCCTAATATGATAAGGAAATCTTAAGTAGTGATAAACTGAGTCAAGCGATTGGAAACAGAAGTAGAGGTTGTGAAAATTGTGCCTCATTTTTGCTTTTTCAGTTTTAGCAATCGAAGAAAAACTGTAAATCAGTTAGTTTCATGGGTTTATGACCATCAGACAATAATGTTTCTCATAAAATTTTTCATCATTTCTTTATCGTTTTCTATCTTTGGTTTGTTTTTGCCTGAACCAGCAGGTATGTGCAGACCTGGTGAAGAAGAGAAAATGAAAGTGCCTTATTTCCCAGAAGATGAAAACTAGAACATAGATGACATCACAGGCGGTGCTGCTATGTTGGGTTTCTGACTAGAGCTGCTGGTAATGATTTGCAACCATTTTGATTAGAGTAGAATATTTACCAGGGGGATTTGAAGGCTAAGGCATCCAACACGGGAAAGTGACTTTCGCCCAAATATGAAATTTCCATTTGTAGCAAAGTTGTGAAATAAAGGAATAAATCTTTTTTTAAGAAGACAGTTGGCACACAGCTGATTTGTATAATCTTAGGAAATGTTCTAGCTGCACTGCTGTAGCAGTTTGGAAAGCGCTTTTTGTAACCAAACTGGCATTTTTATAAGGCAAGCACCAGATGTGCTGCCTTATAAACCTACCATGCATCCAAACTAAATATCCATGGAACAGGTGTGCACAGCTAGACAGGAACTACATAAAAAGACAAAAGGAATGGTTTAAGAGGGGTAGAGTTCGGCTTAAGCAGATGGAGTCTAAACTATCTCAGACAGGTGTGTTATAGTTAAACAAGGTAAAAAGAATGTGCTGCTGATAGTGTCTTAACTTTGTGCAAATTAGCAATTTTAAAGACATTTGTTTCAAGTAAAGAACATGTTTAAACAATTCCATGAAGTTCTTTCAGCTGTTTTATTCTTGACAGTTTGAATAACTTGCAGAAACAGCTGTTTTAGGGCTCTGTCACTTTAAGAAAACAAGCTGCAACTGGCCACACCTACCCACCCACCACCCAGGCTGCTATAAGCCGAGAAGCTCAGTTATTTGGGAGGGGCTTGAAGTAGAGTTGCTGCTCATCCAGCAGCAGCTCCCTCTTCTACGTGAGCAGCGTTCCTATTCTACTTTCCTCATTTGTGACATCAAAAACAGGGACTTTTTAAAATGGCTCGTTTTAGGCACATAAATCCTAAAACCAAACACTGACAGAAAACAGATGGGCAGATTTTAAGTCCTGAAGGCAGTAGAGACCTACATGGCAGCAGAAAAAGATGGAAAAGTTTAGTTTTGCATAATATGTCCCTCTTAAAGGTTTTCTTATAGTTTTATTTATCTAAACAGATACAGTGTGGTCAAACTCCAATACTGATCAATAAAAATGACTTGATTGGGAAAAGGATCTAATACTCAGGATTTACTTTCAATTAAATTTCAATCCCGCAGTTCCCAAAATTGGGGTTGGACTCTGTTAGACTTAATTTGGTTATTTGAGATGATCTCCAGGAACCAAAAATGTTGAAAAAAAAAATCCTGAAAGATTATTATTTTCTGTAATTTATGTACTGAACTAGTTAAATCTAATTATGTCTGTTATTTTTTTGGCTTTCACAAGTACAAGTCATAATTTTTTTCCTTTATTCCCCTTATTTGTTTAGCTTAATAAACAGTGTTTGTATTGGTCAACCAGTAATCTTTTGGGCAGCCAGGTCTTTACCAGTGGGATTTTGTGGGTCAGAAGCTAAAAAGTTTCTAGCAACACAAACTACCTTGGCTTTTGTTCTGGGTCACTTTGTCACAACAAATTCAGGTTTATGTCTTTTCATTTCATCACAATAAAGCTTAAACTGGAACATCTGTGTCATGTTTGTACTCATCAGTATCATTTATATAATGTCATATCTTTGTCAAGTTTCAACAAGAGTGTGTAACACAATCCACTCATGGATTTCCTTCTGCTTTCCTTTTATTTTGGAAGCTTAAGCAATAATGAGCTTGTTGGATTGCTTTGGTTATTTTTCTGATAGTTATCTGCAGATTAAACCTCGTCTAAATATGAGTAATGAATGCATAAATGACATGTAGGGACAATGATTTGTTTTGGAAGACATTCACCCTGAGTAATGGACATTCTCAGGAAATTGAATGATCTAGAAAGAATACGGGGATGAAATCAAAGTCCCCTTAAAGACGTGCAACTGAAAGAATGATGGGAAATTGATCTTGAACAAGAAAGTTTTTTGGTAATCGGGTGTGGCAATGAGAAGTGAAACATGGTATTTTTTCAGTACATGTGCAGTGGTATCTGCCTTACAGACTATCCTCAGGGCAGAAAAAAGCCCACAAATGCCTGGCTCAGCAGGGACAAGTCTGCAACCTCAGAGGAGAGATTAACACAGCAGGATTTGGAGTCTTTTTTCTGATTTTTGAACATCTTGCCTTGAATTGGATAACAGAAACACAACTCAACCAATGACACTGCTTGCTCTGTTTTAATCTACACACATAACACGAGCCTGGGGGAGCTTCTGCTGTGTGGTTAAGTTGCTAATGCTAATAGTAAGCTTCTGCTAGCCGAGACGTTAACTTCTAATTATGGAAGCTAAAACAACAATCTTCCCTGTCACAAGACAATATTGGGACGTCTAAGTGACAGTGTGATGTAGAGCTGTCAGGAGATAGGTGTAGGAGACTATTTTCATGTTCAGCCTGCATGGAAAGCTCAGAGTGGCTGATTATAATCAGAAATGATCATTAAAAATGGTTTTCAGTGTTCTACTCCTTTAAAACCAATGAAAAACACAATAATCTTTGCAAACGTAAGGAGAGTAAACGTGAAATCTGGCAGATTAATTGAGGTATAAACTAATTCTCATGGAGGTCAACCATCTGTGAAAGGCTAGTCTGAGATTAAATTACACCAACAGATCCAGGATTGACCAAAAGAATTGGGATGTGCTTTTTTTAACTAAATTCTGACTCTTTCACTTGCTAAGAATCAATTGAAAAAGTTCAGGTTTCATTGATGCTTCATTCATGCTGAGATTTTATCAACTTTAGGAGATTTAGTATTCTGTGAAAGTCACCTACCATAAGTGGAGCACAATGAGAAACTGCATTTCTGAGTTGAAGACTGCAGGTTTTGAAAAAAGTCTAAAGCATTTAAAAGTGCTGATTGTGTGTGTGTTTGTGTGTGTGGGTGGGTGGGTGTGTGTGTGGTCCGGGTGAGGGCCGAGAACAGGATGACGTCCAGCAGATCCATCTGTTGAAATGATACGAGTCCTGGCTAAAGAGGCAGTGAACCTCCACCACCTGTGGTTAACACACACTTTAACCTAAACACACATGCGCACACACACACACGTGCACACGCACAGACACACACACACACTCAGTCCAATGGCTCATGGTTACAGCAGGCTGTTTCCATGCTGCTGCATGGCTGAACTTGTAAACAAAGTTTTCTGTCTCAGCTGAAGTGTTTATAGCCTGAGGCCATGAGGATATGCAGCCCCTCTCGCTCATCCTAAACTGCTGACTACCTTTTGAAATGTTAAGCCCCAAAACATTATCTAAAAGGGTGACATCAGCGCAAGCCGCGCAGTAAAAGTTTTATCTGTTTGATTCGGTGTCTGGGACAGACGAGTGTTATCTCTGATGGCTGCAGTAAACACCAAGCAGCTCAGTGAAGTCACCCTGGCTTAAGCGGTGAGTTTACAGCAGGGTTGTGTAGGTGTCTAATGCATCTTTTTAATAGATTTCACCAAACTATCCAAACAGAGCTCAAAAATATCCTGAGTATCCAAGCCCTGGCTGCATCATCTTTAACTCTACACATGTTTTCCTGTTTGACAGAAATTTCTGCTTTAGTTCTAGTGTAAACTTCTGTCTCATAACTAAAAGGGAAAAGCACAAATGAGCCTCATCGCTGAAGCCTCATTACTTTTGTCTCAGAAGGTTTGTGGTTTTTCTGAGTCAGGGCACCTCCATGTTTGATTTCACACTCCGGGTCCATTTGTGCTCACTCAGCTAAAACACGCTGTAGCAATTACCCATTCACCATTTTCTGTTATTTAAGACTTTTCAGGTTTGTTTCATTCAAATACTTCTTCCTTCTAACCTGTTATTTCTTTTTTTTTCCTTTTGCCTTTTTGTTTGTAGAATTTCCGCCCCATCACCAGCGGTTATGGCAGTTACGGTCGGAAACCTTCATATACCTCTGAACCCCAGTCCCCTCAACCTCTCCAGGTCACCCACCTTAATAATGGACACTCCAGACCCAACAACGGCCACAGCTACGGTTACAGGAACGAAACCGGGCACGCTCAGTACAATAACCCAGCAGGGCTTTACTCTCACAACAATGGCAGCAATGGAGACAGATCCCTGCCAAGCAAGATGGGGGGTCTCAGCCTGAGTGCCACACACAGGTGAGACAATAAAGTTTGTGTGCAAACCAAGTTAAATGAGGCCACATCTTACAAGCTTTTTGGCAGAAGTAGGTCAGTCTACTTAGAATTATTTTCTGAATTTCCAAACCCACATTTGCTTCTCGTTCTTGCAGCCGTTTACCGTGTGCCGTTCATAAAGCAAAGACTAAAGAAAGAAAAGAGAGCAACGTTTTATTTTCTGTGTGAACCTTTAGGAACAGAGCCTTATCTAAGCTGCAGCTTTTGTGTTCAGGCTTATCGGCTTTTAAAATATCTCTCCACCATTTCCCAGATGGTACCTAATGCTGCTGTGCGAAAAACACACAAGAGAATAGTAGAACGTCTCCTGTGACTGCCTCCAACATCCATCAAACTATCTTGTTAAAACCTCTCAGGGTGGGATTTTGATTTAAAAACAGGATCACGGTTGTGTAGAGACGCGAACACTCGCATAGTTAGGATCTCTTTTAACACACCTGCACAGACGGCCCTGGAAGTCTTGAAAAACTATTTGTTCTTGTGCACCCCCTCCAGTGGGTAATAAATGTGTGTCTTCTGTCTCCCAGTTAACATCCTCTGCAGCCTTCCCAGTGTTCCCAACAACTAGACTGTTAATCACCAGGTTTCTAAGCTTCCACAAGGCGTTAAACATAACCAGAACGCTGCTTTTAGGATTCTGTCTCACTTTCTCGTACACATCAAATCCTCCAATTTAATTCGGTCTTTCTTACAATACAGGATGTTCTCTTATACTCACACTCCTAAAGAGAAGCCTGGAGACAAACATGCTGTTAAGTGTGTCTGGATTTGCACTCATCTGTCAGCAGCCATGAAGCTTGAAGGTTAAATCTGTTCAGGGAGGGAACCCATGCATAGCATGCCGAGTCTTCCCAGGAGGTGATACCAATAAGATTTTATGCATTTGGAGTTGAATGTAGATGAATAAAATGTCTGAGATTTTCTCAGCCAAATTAAATACAATTTAATTATTCGTGTTTTCACATTTTAGTAGCCAAATATAGTTAAATTGAATTAAAAAAAAACACAGAACAATGATTTTCTTAAACTTAACCAGTTTAATGCTTGACCATAAACCATCAGAGTGAGTTTATGAGAACACATTTCTGGGAATCAAAACTGACCATGATCTAAATTGGAAGTTGCATATTAATAATATTAAAAGGAAATTATCAAGACTGATAGGAATATTATATAAACCCAGATATGTCCTGAACAAAGACAGCTTAAATCCTTAATCATGCCCATAAATACCCATAAATCAAATACAAAACAGAAAAAGTCTTTTAGGCTCCTCACATTGTCAAATTATAACCAACCGACCAATCCTTTATTTATTAATGTCCGTATTTTAAAATTCTATGGCCTAGTAGATTTGTATACACTAAAAATAATGTTTAAAAAAAATAAACTTGCATCACAAACATGACTAAACATGTTTACAATAAGACAGAGCCGGTATGAACTTAGAGGTGTGGAAAGGTTTATTTTAAAAAGGGGCAAACAAACACAAAGAGATTTTGTGTTTCTGTTAAAGGGGTTGATCTCTTGCGCAATTATTCAGATGACATCAAATTATGTTCCACTCTCTCATCTAAAGAGAATATAAAAATGTATTACACTTGAAAAGTATTTTTTTAGTATCTGCTTACCAGTTTGACAACCTGATGCAAAAATACATATTAAACACATTAAGTTGTAAAGAAAGGGTAGGCATTACACTCAATAGCTTCAGCCTGTACCTTTGCAGTCAGCTTGTTTGTTATGTTAAAGAAGTATACTTTTATGGAATGTAAAATAATGAATGAGCATACTTTTGACCAAATAAACCTATTTGAACTGAACTAATAACTTCTTGCTAAACATTATAACTGAAGATGCAGAGCAATAAAAACATAAGACATGTTACATAAAGAAAAAAAAAGATAAAATGGATGTTTAGCAAACTTTACATCCTTATTCCAGGATGATAGTAAGGGCATTAAACATGGAGAAAACCACTATTGATCGGACCACATGGTAAGCAGCAGCTATGTTGAGAGAGATTCTGCGTGATGTCCTGGCACTCGCGGAGTACAGACGCTTCTCTTTTCGCTCCCTTATCTTTTTTTCCCAAGGCTCTTTGTCCTGTCTGCCCACAGAGCGCTTCTCTCCATTTCTTCTGAAAAACCCTATTTTTAACCATGGAATTGATAAATTGGTAATTCAACGCGATCAATAAGATTTTTTCAACTATGAGAACGGAGCAGGGGGCTCCCACATGCCCACAGGGGACACACCCGGTGGGGTATATGCTGGATTCCTGGAGGGGATGGAACATCATATGCCTCCCCCAGCTGTCCATTGAGGATGTCGAAGACGTGTGGATATTCGGCCTGATGATCACTGGATTTTTTCTGACTGGAGTGGGAGGATATCTGGTTTTCTGGAAATTTGGGAAGACGGGAGCGATTGGAGGGCGACCCGCACCCACGGAAAGCACCGTCCATGTGGAGACTTCACAGACTGGGATGTTACTCGAGGTGAATCGTAAGCTGGACAATGTTCTAGCTGCGATACCGGTATTAGTGCGCAAAATGGACGTCATCTCGGAGAGAGTCACCGGATGGTATGGACAAGTTTAAAAACCCAAAATTGGCTTCACTGAAGAACTGGAATGATCAGTTTTAAGACTGAAGGCAGAGAGGAAAATTATCTCAGCCTGACCCAAACAAAGTCTTCTTATCCGAATCTGATGCCCTGGTAGCCTTGAGAGGCTACAAACCCCCACAAAGGAATGCAGACAGATGCTGTGAAAACGCGACCTACCACCCCCCACCCCCCTCCACCCACCCACCCGCCTTCGGATTGGTGGACTTCAGCCTGGCGAGGTTCATCAACCTGCAGGAGTCAATGTGCTATGTGAACTTATGGTGTGAACCAGTTGTTAATAGCTGGCCTACGACTTTCTGCGTCTCTGTCCCATTTGCTCCGGTTGAAAGACACCCAAAACCACACCCCCTTCATGTGGTCACGCACACACACAAGTTCGCTGTGTGTGTGTGTTCATGTGGTTTTTATGCAGTGTCTGTTTACGAACACATTTGACTATCGCGGAAATGTATTTTGAAATGCTTTATTGTGTTAAATTTACCGGCCTGCCTCTCATGTCTAGGTTTGACTTCCTGCCAGAATTGACTGCCAGAATTCGCCCATGTGGCCTATAGAATAGGATAACAAGGGCGCCGAATGAAGGCGGTCCCCGTTTCACGGCGCTTCGGCGGCCGGTGTGTCCCAGGCGTTAGGCTCCCTATTGAACAAACCTAAAAAGAATGAAATAACAACTTTTAAAAGTTGTTTATTGTAGCGTTCTCTGAAATGCTTTTTAATTTTTCCACATCAACTCTGAGCCACTTCTGCTCATACTGGCATTTGAAAAACAACACGGGTAGGTCTGCAGTACATCACAGAGCCAGAGGCGCACGCAAACCTGTGTTTATTTTAGAAACTCGTTAACCTAACACTCATGGTTCTGGACTGTGGAAGGACCCCCAAGCCAGAGGAAAAATTACACATAACCTAATCTGCTGCACTGGTTTCATATTCATTATCATATAACTTCCATTTGGACACCAGTAAAACGATAACTTGTGTTTGTCACCCATTCTGTCACATGGTGTTTCAATTTTGTTGCAAAATCTAACTACTGTCTTTGGTTTATTTTGTGTTTTGCAGCCCAGAGCCTCCCACACAGTCTCCTGGGGGCCGTAATGGTTTTGACCTCCAGTCAGACGTCTACAAGATGCTGCAGGACTACGAAGAGCCAGTCTCAGAGCCCAAACAGTCTGGCTCCTTCAAGTATCTCCAGGAGATCTTGGAGGCTGAGGATGGAGGTATGGTTTTCTGTGTTTGTACATGACCTACACACAGTACTACCAAAGATTTGTGTTGATTTAGAGTAACTAGGAAAATTGTGGGGGTAAATTCTAACCACTGAAATGTCTTCCTCAAACAAAAGGGTGTGCATGTCTCCCTTATAAAATAACATTAAAACCAACTTGTGATTTTAAAAAAAATGCACAGAAGCAATTCCCTTATATCAGTTCTAAATATCGTCTTATGTGACATTTCCACTGGAATTGTAAGTATCACATGGCAGTTCGAGCCCGTGGTTTACGTGGTACGCTTCCGGAATGCTTCAAGCTCATCAGCTGAGTTTGAACTAGACAAAAAGTCGACATGGAAGCAGTGTAAAAGATCTGGAAACTTTCAAAATAACAGAAGTGCAGATTTCCATTTGCTTAAAGCTATAATTCATAGTTTGCCCCTTTTCAGTAATTATGTATGATTTTTGAGAAATCCGTAAAAGTGATTTTATTCCCATGTACTGTGATTTAAGGTAGACTATCAATGTTCTTGCTAAGCCCATCCCCTATCCCGTAGAGCCTCATGCAGTATGAATTGAGTGCCACTCGGCATTCGCCAGTAGTGTAGCTGCTTATATACAGATGTCAGTCATAGAGCGTGTGCAAGACAACTTACTTGGACTGACGAAGGGTTGGCGACATTTCTTGTGCATCAATGCAGTGCAAACAGATGGTTCATGTAAACCCAAGACATTTGAAATAAATATTTCCTGCCATGCAGATGAGGTCTGTTATTCCTGCTCAGTTTCTCTCTGACTCCTAAGAGCTCCTCTGTCTTAGAGGCATAGTTTTCCTTTTATAGGAAAGTTGCAGATAGAGGGGGGGAGAGAGAAAGAATAAAATGGAGAGAAAAGCACAGACAAAAAGGAAAATGGAGAAAGATGAAATGCTGTAAAATGGCACGTTTATGGATAAACATGCAGTGGATGGAAGTTTTTATGAGGTTTGCTGCAAAAACAACTTCACATAAAACAATAAAGTGAAAAATATGGCTTTCTTGTCTGACCACTTGGCATTCCAGCGTTTCAGAAGGGGTCATGTGATGCTGACAGCAGCAGGACGACGCTAATCCCTGGAACTAAAACCTTCTTTTCATGTGTCATGTTTACCATCAAAGCAGGAAAAAAGTTTAAGGGGTGCTTATTAAGAGCCGAGTGTTGGAATGGACCGTTAACCCAGCGATTCACCATTATCACTAGCGCGCCCATGAGAAAAGAAAAATAAATTAAGTTGCAATTAGTGTAATAAATCCAGCTGTAAATTATTTAACAGTATCACAGAGTTCCCCCCCCCCTTTCTATAGAGGTAAAGTTTTCATAGTGATAAAACTTAGTTTTTTTTCCACAATGAGCTGAAGTGTGCTACACTTTGACATTAAAAAATAAATGAAACACTTGCATATAAAGTGAGTACATCAAAAACAGATTAGAGAACTCCCTGTGTTGAGCGTGCATATTCTGCAGTGTGGAATTGTGACAAGTGGGATTAATTCCTTGAACTTTTCTGAGTGTTCAACACCTTGACACCAGATTCACATTAGAGACTTTGGAACCACGACCAGTCAGTGATATCTTATCTCCTTTCACCGTTTGATAAAGCACTTTTTTTAGGTTCTTGACATGGTCAATAAGAAACCATAATGATGACTCATGAACGTGAAATTTCAAACTTAGAATTTTTTTTACATGACAATAGTGCAAAATAATTTTTTAAGTATTGTGATTTTACCACTTTTTGTTAATCAGTTTTGCAAAAATCAACTAATTTGAAGGATTATGTTAGTTTTCCATCTTAATTTGAACATGTTAATTCCATTTATGTTGTCATATGGAGCCATTCATCCATCCATTTGTTTCTGCGGGGTCGAGTCGTGGGGGCAGCAGCCTAAGCAGAGACGCCCAGACTTCGCTCTCCTCTAGATTGACCAGAAAATCGAAGTCTCTTCAGACCGGTACAATGCCATCACTGCAGATGCAGCACCAATCCATCCATCAATCCCATGCTCCATCTTTCCCTCACTCGTGAACAAGACCCCGAGATACCAGATAATGAAGCCATTCAACTGAATTAAAACTGTTCTTAAAAGTTTTGAACTAAATCAATCTCCGGTTTTATTCTCTTGTAAAATAATATCATAACATTTCACCCTTTGATGTGAGCACTGACGGGATAATTCACAGCATGAGGAATAATGCAAACTGCTCCAGCAGTGACGGCTGGAGCCGAGCCAAACCACACAGTTCCTTTAATTTATCATTTCTTAAACCCTTTAAAGGAATATGAGCGCCAGAGCTGAAGAAGATGGATGACCTAAAAGCAACTGGAGGGAGAGAGAACACAACACACACTGATGAACTGAGATAAATAGCAACCTTTCTGTTCCACTAAGCATCATTTTTGAGCTCGTGATGTTAATTGACGCTTTAAGTTCAGTCAGACACCTCAAGTTTACATTGGGACCCTTTTAAAAGCTGCGTGCTTCTCTGTCAGGGTTTATAAGTGACATTTAATCTGTGTGAGAATGTGAAATCCAGCCACAGATGTTGCACACACCTCTGTTGTTGTTTTTAAATGGTCCCACAATGGGGGGCGGGGGGCAAGTTGACATTTGACACTTAGGTTGAAGTCAAATCGTCACTCTTTGAATGCATGCCTCGTTGTCAGGCTTTTAAATCACTTTAGCCGGTTCCCCCGTTTGAAGGAGAAAGCTCCTGCAGAGATCATGTTGACTTTTAGGGGCTTTTGAAGTCAGAGTAAACAAGAGTGTCTGTTTACCCAGAATTCCACAGGCTCCAACACAGTTACATAGTAATGGGAATCAAGTAACAATAAAAGGAAAAGAAAGCAGCAACGTTAGAAAAAGTCAGACAGGAAGTTCTTCTGTGTGTTCACATGTTGCACATGACATGAGCTACTCTTTATTAGTGGGTAGTTTAGATATCGATCCTGCAAATTACACCTAAAGTTAGTCCATAAGTTAATGGGGTGACGGTGGCACGGGAGTTAAGTGTTCGCCCCGTAATCAGAAGGTTGCAGGTTCGAGCCCCGCTCAGTCTGTCGCTGTTGTTGTGTCCTTGGGCAAGACACTTAACCCACATTGCCTGCTGGTGGTGGTCGGAGGGACCGGTGGCGCCAGTGCTCGGCAGCCTCGCCTCGGTCAGTGCGCCCCAGGGCAGCTGTGGCTACATCGTAGTTCATCACCATCAATGTGTGAATGTGTGTGTGAATGAGTGAATGACTGGTTGTGTTGTAAAGCGCCTTGGGGGGTTCCAGGACTCTAGAAGGCGCTATATCAAATACATGCCATTTACCATTTTACCATAATCATGAAGCAGTCATACGAGAAGATCACTGTGGGCTAGTAATTATACTGTGGTTAGTCGTAGTTGGCCTGAATATCCTCTGTTGGCACGTCATCAGTGCATGGAGGTCATGCTGCAGTCTGGGCTTGTGCTCCTCTGATCTGCCTTTGCTGCTCTTGAAACCACTGAAGTGGCCCAGACATCCAGTATGAAGCATGTCACTTTCATTCACTGTAAGCAGGCAGAACTAAATGCCTGAAGTTGACGGCTCCTAATGAAAGAAGGCATCTGTGGGGAAGCTTCAAACCGTCTCTACCACCTCCACGATCATCAGCCCCATAATTAACATCTTGTTTAGTAACAGAGCTGAAGTTAGACACAAAGAAGCCATCTCTCATCTGCTTTTGCCAGTAGGTTAAATGTCCGCATGTTCGTGGTGTGGATGTAGCATTACGGTGTGATGGTTATTTCTTGGACTCGGGAGCCTAGGACGTTTTCCCTGTCTGGTGCTGAGCCAGGTTGACTGATGAATCCCTTGCAGGAAATACCACAGCTGAATTTGACACTTGAATGGAGTGTACTGGGAAACAAACACATTGGAGTCGTGCAGAGGACAAGGTGTGAGGCAGAGATAGAATAGGAGAGATTTGGTAAATGTGATGTAGAAATCAGGGTGTGGGCTTCTACATCTCAACACCTTCACTTTATACGGCTGTGAAAAAGAACTGAGTAACGTCTAAGCCCATAATTGACCTGGCTCCCTACTAAATGGTGTCAGGCTGGTCTCATGTTTTGACTTGTCAAGGTGTAAAAAATACACCGTGGCCTGACCTCGTCAGAAAAAGGGCAATAGGGTCTGATGTTTTTAACACGGTCCAGGTTTGTGTTACACCGGTGACAGTTGAAATACCCCAAAACCAAGATATTTTCTTAAACTTCATTATAGCCAAGCAGAATAAAAACTATACCTTTATGCCTTCACCAAAATCACAACTCTTTAAACTTTGCTTTTTTATTATTAATCTTACCGATTTAGGCAGTTCTGAATCTGAAAGATGTTTTTTTATTCATTTATTTTTCCAGTGCGATCACATTTCTGGCATCTAGTTAGAAAATAAATGTCTAGTTTGGTTTTAAGCAAATGTCCTAGCTTAAAGCAGATGCACATATCCCTCCTAAATGATCACTTATGCTGTTACCTTACGCATAACCCAAAAGGGATGGTAATTAAACAGTAAAAGCACATTTAACGTGTTTGGTGTCAGCTTGAGACCTTAGGTTGAATGAAGGATGTTTAGTTTCAAGGAAGTGAACCCAATCAGGATAATAAACCGTGTGCAGAACTTTCAACTTCAATCACATTCCAGACCTCATCTTAAGGTCTCATCACGTGGAACTTGAAAGAATTTTCCTCAAATACACATAAGCCCTTTTGGGATCATAGTCCTGGGATAAACATGGAAACACAAAACTGCTGGTTCACTTGTCACATCACACATCAATCTGGGGAGATTATGTGTGCTTTTACAACAGGCAGCCAAAATCCTGAAAGCAAAGGGGCATTCAGTAGTGCTCAGCAGGATTGTGATGACTGGTGGACATTTCATTCTTTCAACAACAATGGCGGATGAGTTCTGTGCAGTGATTCCTTTATTGGCTGTCCGAATACACTCATTAGGCGAGACTAGTTGTTTACGTATTTAAAATGTCACGGACCGATTATATATATATATATATATATATATATATATATATATATATATAATTTTTGTCAGTCTCTCAAGATGTTTTAAACCGCCATTCCATATTGATACCTTCAGAAAATACCTAAGGTGTGCAGAAGATGTGTAGTTCATGGCCTGAAGGTATGATCTCAAAGGGGAGATAGTTGGAGGCACCGTTCTATGGAAGTGACAATGACTTTATAATATTGAATGTCTTGTAACCAATAGTTTTGTATTTGGTCAAACATGCATGCTTCTTTGTAAAATTGTATTTTTTCATCATGTTTAAACTGTTGGTGGTGTTTCTCCTAGGTATGTCTCCAACTGAGAGAATGAGAAGTTTGAGGTCTCCGGTCAGGTCTCCGATTCAGAAACTGGGAAGCCCCATTACCAACCCCATCCCCAGCCCGTTGTCTGGCCTTCAGAAGCTACCCCAGTGCACACGCTGCTGTAATGGCATTGTGTAAGTATTTTATGAACATGTTACTTTTATTGTGCGGTGAAAGTGACTATAGTGAGGAACAATGTCAACATGCAGAGCAGAAATAATCAGGTAGCTGTGAGTGATTTGTTGCAAAAACACTAAAAGCACATCTGGAAATTTAAATTTTTCTACTTACTTTACCACACCACCTGCAGTCGTAAAGTTTAAGACCAAAAACCATGCAGGTGAGTCAGCGTTCTACTCGGATCTGAATCAGAGAGGTTACCACCCCTCAGCCTGCACCAACAGGCCGAAACGTCTGAGAGAGTTTACTTTAATGATTAATCAAAGCAACCCTCCACACCCTTTTCCCAAATAGCTGCACAGTTACACATGGGTGTGTAAACGTCCTCGCACACATGGTCCTTCTGCCAAAGTAACCACAAGTACCGGTTATCCCTCCATAAAAGCAGCTGCAGGTAGGCGCTGATGTCATGTGCCTCCATTTTTCATTAACAAGACATCTTTGTGGGGACTTGTAGGGCACAGTAAGCCCGTTGTGACCTCAGAGCATTTTCAATTGTGTGTAGAGCACTGTGTCAGGCGTTTATCCTGCTAGCCATGCAAGTTAATTGGGAAAGAGGTTCAAAACAGCAGCAGGATTATGAGTTAACATTCAAAGTCCACTAAGTAAAACCTATGCGAGCACCTAATGAACCTTTAAGGTTGTTAAAGCTGCTTTGTGTGACCAAGTAAAGCACAGAGCTTCTAAACTTAGCAGCAGCTAGCAGGCTAATTTAATAATGCCATTTAGTTTCCAAGTGCAACAATGCAGTTTTTTTTATATCTTGCCCAATAGAAAACATACAAATTAATATGCAAATACCTACAGGGTTAGGAGTGGCCATAAAACATGATAATGGCTGCTTTGCATTGATAATGGAAGGTTGAATAAACAGCTGAGGTGCAATTAATTACCTTTCCTTTTAAAGTGTTTAAGTGCCAGAGCTCTACAGTGACGTCACCTACCCGAAACCTCCGTCTGCTTTTTACTGTTTTCTTAAATGATGCATTATCATGTATTTCACTGGCACAGCCCTATGATGCTTCAAAAAGAAATGAAAAATCAAGATGTTGTTACCCACTTAGGCTTTAACAGGGCATTAATAGCTAAATAAATCCATTGTGAGCTTAATTACATTATTATAAAAAACAGTCTCATCATTAAATGATCTCTAAAATCATCTGTAATTGTCACTGACGAAGATTTTTCACTAAATTCAGCACACACCCAATAACTCCAAACAGAACACCTTTAATGTTGGATATGAAGAAGAAACGGGCTGGCCACCGATTGTGCAAGCTGTCTGATTTAAAAAGATGAGGCCGGCAATTTTCATCAAGTGAGAGACAGAATATAAAAATAAATCCAGGAAATCACAAGCATAATTTTTTAAGAATTTATTTACACAATTGTGCATTAAATAATTATTTTTTTGCCCAAAACCTCAAAGTACATGACCCCATTCATCCTTTCCCTAATAAGTATCAGTCGTCCTGTCCCCTTTGCAGAAAAGCAGCACCAAAGCATAAAATTTCCACCCCCATGCTTTACAGTTGGTATGGTGTTCTTGGGATGCAACTTAGTTTCCTCTACCATCCAAACACTAATCTGACAACACACCCTTCTCCAAATGCTCCTCTGGATTATCCTTAGGGTCTCTTGCAAACTTATGATGGGCTTGGGCATGTTCTGGCTTAAGCAGGGGGACCTTTCGAGGGCTGCTGGATTATATTCCATGATGACATAAGCTGCTTTCAAAAGACACACACTGTGGCGGCGTCAGGGTTTTACTGTTGCCATGGTGTGTCCTTTGAATACGTCATGGTGAGGTGAGAATGTTGCGGCATGCGTCAGTGATATTGTGTTTATTCCATTTTCTAATAAGGTTGATCTAGCCACACTCCATTGTAGCCCCAGCAGTTTTGTGTCTTGCCAATAACAGCACTCTGTCGGTTTGGTGGGCGAGATCAGGACCTGCACAGAGATAGACCAAAGCAACAAAGATGGTGGTAGCTCATTTGAAACAGCTTTGGCATCAACTTTGGACTATTTAGACTTGGGGTTTTCTTTGAGTCAAGAGCAGATAGAGGGACTTAAGTCATTGATTTAGAAAAAGGATGTATTTGCATCTTATTGGATGGTGTATGGTGGACTGCCCTGTTGACTGACATTCATAATGTTGTTCATTGTCTAATAGAATATGTAGACAGTTTGGAAGACAACCAAAGATTTCGCCTTGTGACTGAGATGGTCATGGGTCATTGCCAGACTAAATATTCCCATATATTGGGTGGCTTGCCAGGCTATTTTCTGCATCATTATAAACTAAAAAAAAATTCTTTAAAATAAAATTAGATTTCCTGGATTTTTTTTTACAGTCTGTCTCTCACAATCGGAGTGTACCTTGGATTACAGGCCTTCCTCATCTTTATATGTACAGGTGCTGGCCAGTAAATTAGAATATCATCAAAAGGTTGAAAATATTTCAGTAATTCCATTCAAAACGTGAAACTTGTACATTATATTCATGCAATGCACACAGACCAATGTATTTCCAATGTTCATTACATTTAAATTTGATATTTATAGGTGACAACCAATGAAAACATCAAATCTGGTATCTCAGAAAATTAGAATATTCTAAAGGCCAATGAAAAAATGTTTGTTTCTCTAATGTTGGCCAACTGAAAAGAATGAACATGAAAAGAATGTGCATGTATAGCACTCAATACTTAGTCGGGGCTCCTTTTGCCTCAATAACTGCAGTAATGCGGCGTGGCATGGACTCGATCAGTCTGTGGCACTGCTCAGGTGTTATGAGAGCCCAGGTTGCTCTGATAGTCGTCTTCAGCTCCTCTGCATTGTTGGGTCTAGCGTATTGCATCCTCCGCTTCACAATACCCCATAGATTTTCTATGGGGTTAAGGTCAGGCGAGTTTGCTGGCCAATCAAGGACAGGGATACCATGGTCCTTGAACCAGGTGCTGGTGGTTTTGGCACTGTGTGCAGGTGCCAAGTCCTGTTGAAAGGTGAAGTCTGCATCCCCATAAAGTTGGTCAGCAGCAGGAAGCATGAAGTGCTCTAAAACTTCCTGGTAGACGGCTGCATTGACCCTGGACCTCAGGAAACAGAGTGGGCCAACACCGGCAGATGACATGGCACCCCACACCATCACTGACGGTGGAAACTTTACACTGGACCTCATGCAACGTGGATTCTGTGCTTCTCCGCTCTTCCTCCAGACTCTGGGTCCTTGATTTCCAAAGGAAATGCAGAACTTGCTTTCATCAGAAAACATAACTTTGGACCACTCAGCATCAGTCCAGTCCTTTTTGTCCCTGGCCCAGGCGAGACGCTTCTTGCGCTGTTTCTTGTTCAAGAGTGGCTTGACACACGGAATGCGACACCTGAATCCCATGTCTTTCATGAGTCTCCTCGTGGTGGTTCTTGAAGCGCTGACTCCAGCTGCAGTCCACTCTTTGTGGATCTCCCCCACATTTTTGAATGGGTTTGTCGTCACAATTCTCTGCAGGGTGCGGTTATCCCTAGAGCTTGTACACTTTTTTCTACCACATTTTTTCCGTCCCTTCGCCTGTCTGTTAATGTGCTTGGACACAGAGCTCTGCGAACAGCCAGCTTCTTTAGCAATCACCTTTTGTGTCTTGCCCTCCTTGTGCAAGGTGTCAATGATTGTCTTTTGGACAGCTGTTAAGTCAGAAGTCTTCCCCATGATTGTGGTGCCTTCAAAACAAGACTGAGGGACCTTTTAAAGGCCTTTGCAGGTGTTTTGAGTAAATCAGCTGATTAGAGTGGCAGCAGGTGTCTTCTATATTCAGCCTTTTCAGAATATTCTAATTTTTTGAGATACCAAATTTGGAGTTTTCATTAGTTGTCACTTATGAATATCAAATTTAAATGTAATGAACATTGGAAATACATTGGTCTGTGTGCATTGCATGAATATAATGTACAAGTTTCACGTTTTGAATGGAATTACTGAAATATTTTCAACCTTTTGATGATATTCTAATTTACTGGCCAGCACCTGTATCTGTTAATACTGGAATAATAACCTGTGACTTTTGTGCAGTGGCACCATTGTGAAGGCCAGAGACAAACTCTACCATCCCGACTGCTTTGTTTGCGACGACTGCAGCATCAACCTAAAGCAAAGGGGCTACTTCTTTATCGAGGACAATCTGTATTGCGAGACTCACGCCAAGGCTCGCGTCCAGCCTCCAGAGGGCTACGATGTTGTGGCCGTTTACCCCAACTCCAAGGTGGAGATAGTCTAGAATTAACAGACTGATATTGTCATATCACAGCAGATGGTAAGATAGGACCACTGAGTACTAGCCTACACTGATTAGTGACCTGTCAAGCAGAGCCTGTGGTGTTGGATCACTTTGTGTTTTATTTTTATTTTATTTTATTTTTTAGTTTTGTTTTGTTTGGGTGCGGGGGGTTGTTATTCCATCAGTACTTGCTCTCTGGTGGATCTGTTAAATACTATGTATATATAACCTATTAAAGTATGACAGACTGAGGCTTGCTTCTGATGACCTTCAAAGCATTTTACTAATCTGTTAGCATTTACAATAAACTGTCCGGGGAGACAGCTCGGTATGAGAAGAGAAACAGAGCTCACATGCAGATTGCAAACATTTAAAACTCAAAATATTCAAATTTAAAATTATTTATAGTCCTAGGATGCAAAAATTAATCTAAAACACCTGATTTTAAGATCTACTCCAGCTGTCGCCAAGCCTTAAAATTGATAACTGATGTGTTTGTAGTGATTTCAAAGGATTAATTGTTAAAACTTGCTTTATTTTGGATACAACTTTAATTTCAATTAAAAAATAAATAAATAAATAAACAGATACCAGTTAAATATAGTCATTGTGTTTTGGTTATGGGTTATCATCTTTTTACACTGCTACAGTTAAACATTATACTGATAAAATGGGCTTTTTAAATTCACTTTTCAGATTCTTTCCATAACAAAACATCTTTCTTTTCAAATCCACTTCACAGCAGTTATTTAATGACTTTTTAGTTTTGTTTAGAATGAAATGACTTTCAGCAAGCTTGGGAAATGGATTTAAAAACCATTTTACTTTCAGAATAGCTAATAATTTTTTAAAAAGCTTCTAAATGAGCACATTAATACATGAATAGAAAAATTACAGCAAATCTGAGTTTATTGTTAAAAGTGTGGTTCACTCATTTAATCTAGACATTTGCAGTCCTCTCTAGTAGGATTGGAATCAGAAAAATTATGAACAATTGGCTTTTCAATGTCCCACGCCTTTAAAGCCTGAATCTCACTGGGAGGAAATTTGTAGTATTTGAATAGAAGCATTTGCAGGGCTTCTTGATTTCCAAACTTCAGTCATTTATGAAAATTTCAATAAATTAAACATTTGCCGGGCAAATGTTCTCAAAATTGTTGCAGAATTGTCAAGGATGTCGAAAACAAACCCCTTTTTCAAAAAGGTGAGAAAAGAGACAACTTTAGGAGAGGTTGGTGACCAAGCTGGGACCAGTTAGAGACAAAACAAGAGGATCAGAAATTCAAGCATGACTAAAGCTGGACTAAAATGAGGATCAACTGCAAAGAAATTAGAATTTTTAACACTTTGTCGTGTTTTAAGACATTCCTTAGTTGTAATTTTTCCACATTTTTACACAAGGTTTTGCATCAACACACTTTGTGTCTCATAGTCATAAATTGTCTCAGCATAGTGAGATATTAGTCAATTCATTTAGCTTAATCCATTTGGATCTGATGCAACACAGGTTTTAAAAACAAAACATCATAACACTCTTTACTTCTATTTACAAAGTAATATATTGCATTAAGAGACCAGAGACAAAGTCATAAAATGTAAACTGGGACTCCACATGTGGGAGTAATACTCACCATTTTATGTTTTTTGGACCTGTTACATAGATTCATTACAGTTTCTCCTTGAAAGAGAGAAAAAGACGAGTTGGACGTGTGCAGTTTTATTCCCTTCCTGTGATGAATTCATGTGTCTGATTAAAGCCAAGGTCATAAAGCAAAATGAATCTATGTCATTTCCTCTGAGAGGAGGAAAGAAAAATTAGTGTGTCATTTCATTTCCTGACAGAAAATGAAACTTTTTAGGAAGTTAAAATGTGTTTTTTTTTTGTGCAGCCATCTGTCATATTGTGAATATTCTAGTGAATGAGGTGGAGAAGAGTGATTACATTTTTTATTTTGCTAATATTTCTAATAAAAAAATATTTCTAATAAAAAAAAAGTTTGATCTGAAGTAAGATTTTTTTTCCATGTTTAGCTGCTCTGTTAGTAATTTCATTAACTTATGTGAACTTTTCCACCTGTTGTCTTTGGTCTTGTACATATTTGTTGTCTGTACTTACACACGTTTGGATTTCAAATGTCTAAACATTTGACTTTTTTGTATTTAACTTATTGTTCCGCTAACATTGTTTTCTTCCTTTTCTGAAATGATTTACCCATCTTGCATCTTGTTTTTGAATAAAATTAAAAGTGCATTTCCATGACGTGTTTATTCACATTTTTCTTCGGTCTTAACTGCAGGATTTCCCACAAAAATTTCCAAAAATAAAAGACCCTTCAATTTGTCTTAGTTTTAAACCCGAGCTCTGACATGGCTGTTTCTCCACACCGCTCCGTTTACGACCACAAGGCTGCAGTATTTGTGTCTTGTAACCAAATTCCTCAGACGTACACATCACAGAGGCTGTAAATTTGATCATAAAACCGAGCAGGACTTTTTTTTAAGAACAGTAAATCCTGGTTATAAAAGGGGCTGTCTGAAACACTGTAATAAAATTCACAGTTTCTTAATTGCTAAGACTGGGACAAATGAAATGAAAGTGATTTCAACCACGCATTATCTATTGTTGATGGGTGTATGTGACAGCGCTGGCAGGATGAACGGAAAATAACCAGGAGTGATCCATTTAGATCAATTTAAGTGGTTTGGAAAGTAAATATTTGGTCCTAAATCCTTGAGATTGTAGGTATAAACTATAGTTTAAGACTTTGAATACTTTGTTGGCACACACACACACACGCCAAATTATATAAATACAGGAAGACATTTTGCCCTCAATAAAACCTCCCCAAAAATTCTGCAGAAATTCTCCAGCATGACGAGCTAAAGAATAAGTGCCCCTAATGCTTTTAATTTAAAGCTGCATTTACCCAAATCTTTTATTTTCTTATATTTTAACTCAAATTTGTACTCATCTTTCATTTGTTTTATGGCATTTAAGATTTTTGACTTTGCTTTTCTGATTTTAATTTAGATCAGTTTAAAGCTAATTATGATTTTATGACTATGCTTTATTTTGATCTATGTGAAGCACTGGGATTTTCTGTCTGACGAGTGCTATACAAATAAAATTTACTTACTAATCGATGGATGCAGCATAGATTCTATCTAAACATAGTTTTAGGAATAAAATGTTGCTTTACATCTCAGCTAATTCTTTTCTAATTTAATTCCTGTGAAACGTAGTTTTTAGTGCAGGGCAGAAAACTGCAGGATTTGAAGTTTTATTAATATTCATGATATTTGAAAATCACACCTCTGATTGGCCAACAGCAACTCCAGTGCCTCCATTCGCTCTGCCATGTTGAAATTTTATCTCTAAAAGTAATACAAGCCTGAAGGAGTTCTGTCGCCATGTGCAGTTGCTAACCCCGGGTTTCCACGGGAGCCGTCAGCAGCACGTTACTGCAGCAGCACGTCTTGCTCGCGTAAGCTGCTGCTTGGCCCTTCCCACGAGACGCGAAGCAGCAGCTGTCACCGACCGAGCACGAAGTCACACGAGTGACTTCGTCAGTAAACACAACAACAAGCAGGAGAAAACTACAACATGGTTTGTGTTTTATGTTCTCTCCGTTTTATAATCGCCAATACAGACCTGAAAAACAAAGGAGACCGCTAGCTAGGTGATAACTTCTCACGGGGCCGCACAGTTAGTAACCTTTTTTAAAAGTAAAGCAACCGGAAGGCAGTACGTTCTTTATTCTGAAAATCTCGGTAGCTTCTCTCCATTTCCGCGTCCGATTTCCTGTCTTTCCTTCCCCAAAAATGTCGAACTTGACCCGTTTCAGAGGCGTCGCGCGTAGAAAATAGAACCGGCGCGTAAAGGCCGCGACATGCTGCTCCTGAGACGCGGCCGACTCGCGCTGCTGACGGCTGCTGACGGCTCCGGTGGAAAAGGTTCTGTTGACCACAGCGGTTCCTATCAGCAGCTATGACGTGCTGCTGCAGTAACGTGCTGCTGACGGCTCCGGTGGAAAGCCGGGGTTATGCTAACGTTAGCTTCTACTAGCTGAGACGCAAAGCCCTTTCCTGTCACGAGCCAAGATGGCTGAGTCCATGAATGGTAATTTGCAGTGTGACATAGATCTGTGTGTCTTTTTTAATGTGATCATTTCCTCAGCCGTTTTCTATCGGCGGCTAACAGGAAATGGGGTAGAAGGCTATTTTCAGGTTTACCCTGCATGCGAAACTCAGAAATAAGGTAAAAAATTGGTTACTCCGTAAACTGGATTTTTAAATATTTATTTATATTTAAGTACTCTAGCTGTGGCTGGTTTTGGATATCTAAAAATAATTTCAGTCCCACTCTCTGAGTGCACAGACGGTTCTAAAATCTGTCTAGCAGTGTGAGTGAGGTGTTATGGGACAGCGGAAAACAACGGAAATGAGTTTTTTTTTTTTTTTGCCATCAAGCTCCAAAACCGATCTTCATCTTTAGTCATGCAAGTGTTTTGAATGAATAAAGCTATGGTCCAACTATAGGCCACCTGACTTTAAGTCTGAGAACTGGAAAACTGAGACGGCTCCAATATGTCAAACTTTTTTTCCATCACACTTTTCCGTTTATATTAGCTACTTTCTTCAATCAGCCCTAAATTACTTTCATTTTCTTTTATTCAAAAAAGGGAACAGACAGATTTTTCACCTTTGTCTAATGCATGAGAGTTATACAATCAATTACAGTCAGAAATTAATGTTAGAGCTTGTTAAGGATCGAAATGTCTGCTTTGTTTTGCACAAAGCATAATTATTTTACATTTATGTTTTATCTGAGTATACCTCAAATTTCCAGTAAGTATAAAATCACCAGGTCTCTTAGAAGAATCTGTGTACCTCATTCTGTCTTTATGGAGCATAGCATTCATTCCAGGTTTAAAGGTCCATACGGCACCAATCTGTTGCCTCATGATTTGTAGTTTAAAGCTATTTCTGTGTACGAAAGACTGCACGCCAACATGCTGTAGCCAGTCGTTTTCAGGTGTAAGGTAAATCGGCAACACTCTAATGTATTTAAATCATAGAAAGACCAACTTCACTTGTTTTTCAATACATTTGCAATGGTCTCTTAAATGAGTGAATGACTTATTAATTTTCTGTGGGAAAAAGGCTTTGGCGCTCCTGTTTCAGGAAGTAGAAGTCACTGGAGTGTGAAGCAGAACACGGCAGGTTTGGGACTCTTATTAAAACGATATTCGGACATCTCACCTCTGATTGGCTAATAGCAACAAAACTCTTCCTGTGCCTTTGTTTGCTCTGCAATGCTGATGTTTCGTCTTCACAAATAGCTCAAGCCTGAAGGACTTCAGCAATGTTGTGAAGTTGCTAATGCTAGCATTTAGCTTTTACTAAATTAGACGTTCTCTGCCGTTTCCTGGACAATAAATCATCCACAGCTTTCCCCGTCATGAGCCAAGATGGACGAGTCCATCTATCCATCCATTTTCAGTCTCTTATCTGGGATTGGGTCATGGGGCAGCAGCCTAAAGCTTGGTTTATGCTTGACGTATTTACTTTCCGCTTGGTGATGCGGCTCGCGGATGGAACGTGCTTCACAACTTGCAGCGTTTATGATTCATGCGGCTTGTCTCTGCGGTGAGCCAATATTCTCCCAAACTGAACGGGGCAGCATGGAGCTCTACGGCATGCATCCAACACTACACCATAGTAGAAGTAGAAATTACTGTTGTTTACAACATGGCATTCCAGCATTTTTTTAACAGCGTCCTTGTCTTTTCCGACAGTGCAAGCTATTTCTCTCTGAGAATTATTAACAACATGTTGATCACGGTGATCTTTGAGAGCTGAATCATACAAATGTCTGCATTTACGAACCTCTGCCATACTAGTTCTTGCCAGTCCGCCATGTTTTTCTGCGTCCGACCGTCCGCGTGGTTAGAAAATTTCCTAGGTGCGCGGTGCGGAAAGTTTGGGCTGTGCGGAGGCGCGGTGAAGGGGCGTGGTTGTTAAAATGACGCAATTTCGCCGCGCTGAGCCATGCGAACCTCGGACGCGTCAAGCATAAACCGAGCTTAAGCAGGGAGGCCCAGACTTCCCTCTCCCCAGCCACTTGGGCTAGCTCCTCCTGGGGAATCCTAAAGCTGGGCGGACACTGTGCAACTTTTTCACTCGTAGCACTCAGCTTCAGCTCAAACTATAAGACTTCCTCGCAGGGCAGATCTCACGAGTCATGTGCTCACACTGCACGACCCAGTTCTTGGATGTGAACTGACTGCTCACACTGTACGTCTGGTAGCAACACGTCGGCCCTAAAAATATGCTAAAAATAGCAGTTTTTACACAACACGTCAGACTTTTTTGTCTTGTCTTGCTGTTGTCCTTCGGGAGTGCTGCAGGAGGACACACAGGGATTTATGGGGGTTGGATGAGGAAAACGAAATAAAGAAATTAAATCTGTGTTTTGTGATCAGTTTAATTTGACATGAACACGACAAACACGGTTTCTTGACAATCTGTGAGTAAAAAAACCATGTAGAAATAAAAACGAACAACGTGTGTTATTAGGGAAATAGCGGGCGAGTGGTGTTGATGCAGGATTGCGCATGCGCCGTGAGCGGTTCTGATACTTTTTGGGTCGCAGCCGCTTGCAGCGCCGCTTCAACAGTGCGATACCCTCACGAGGGACGAGCAGAATAATAAACACGCCAGAAGTTTGTGCGAGCTCACGATTGCTGATCGGTAGCTGGTCACGTGGTGTTAATCGGCTCTCGTAACCCCCTGTACACTACACGATGCTCAGCGCAAAACTCACCCTGATCTCGTGGATTCTCGCACGAGTGGAAAATCGGCTCAAAAAAGTGAAAAAGTCGCACAGTGTACGCCCGGCTATAGGCATTCCCTGGCCAGCCGTGAGACTATCTCTCCAGCTTCTCCTGAGTCTTCCTTTAGGTCTTGTCCCAATTGGACATGTCCAGATAACCTCACCAGTGAGGCATCGAGGAGGCATCCTAACTAGATGCCCAAGTCACCTCAACTGGCTCCTCAATGTGGAGGAGCAGCAGATCTACTCCAAGCTCCTCCCGGCAGGCCAAGCTTCTTATCCTATCTCTAAGAAATCCTGTCCTTAATAGTCATGGACTAATTTCGATGAATGAGTTCATGAATGCCAATTTTCATTGTGACGGAGATCTGACTGGTTTTTCTCCTATTTTCTTTCAGCACCTAATGCAGGAAACAGGGGTA